CACTCAATGAAAGGAGGGCAGTAATTCTAACACGTCCATTATCACCTCCTAGAGCTCCTTGGATGGGCTACAGAAGTGAAGTATTATTTATGTAAATGTTATTTTATTACTGGACTGTGATCTATCGGAAACTGTCCCTCAAAAACCCTACAAGTTGTCATTTGCTGGGGCACAGTCTCTGCAGTAAACTGATTTTTAATGTAAGCTCGTTCAACAGAAAGCTCCCTGGTTAAGTTATGGCTTATGAAGTACGTTTTATTTTTGGTCGGGCAAAGCTGAGGCCAGTTGCTCTCGTGCCTGTGTTGCTGCTCGCACGTACGCGGTGCGGCCCCGAGAAACGCTCCTTTGGTGGGATGTGGGGCTGTGCCAGCCGGGGGGTCAGAGCCGCGCTGCCGCCGAGGGTGCCGCTGCCAACAGCGGGGCCGGCTGCCGGAGAGCAGGGCGGCAAAGGGAAGGAGGAATTGCTTCATGTGACCCGTTTGGAGCACCCGCTAGCCCCTTGCTGTGTGGGTGACCCCAACGAGGCGCCCTAAACAGGGGCACCCCCCAGGAGGGCTGTGGGACGGGGCGCACAGCCCGGGGGGCACCTCCCGCTTCCCTCGCGCTCCCGCTTTTCCCGGAGCGCCGCGCAGTGCCGGTTCCCATTCCCAGTAGGATCGCGCACTTTCCTTGTGTCCTCCTCGCTTGCAGGGTAACTATTGAAGCGTTCAGTACCAAGCGCTTGCCCCGGGACCCAAAGCTGCAGCTTGAGCTCTTGGAGCAGCCCCGCTGCAGCCGCGGCTGCGCCCGGCCCTCGGCAGCGCCCCCCATGCCCCCGTCCTGCGTTTTTAACGTTTTTCTGCTTGTGAAATGATGAAGTACTGTGAGCCTTAATTTTTATCCACAAATAAAATCAGTATGTTTGAAGGTTGTGTGTGTGTGTGTCTGTTTTCACCCGTGTCCCGGGTGCTGCTGCTGGCCGGCCGGGGCGCAGGAGGGCGCAGGTTGGTCCCTGCTCCGCTGTGGGGCCGGCACCGGCGGGCACCGGCTCCTTCCTGGCCCGGGGAATGGGGCCGGGCAGCGGGATCCCCCTGGGAGCTGTGTAGGGGGAAGCGGGAACAGGGCTGGGCGACGGGATCCCGCTGGGTCCGTGCACAGGGAAGCGGGAATGGGGCTGGGTGGCAGGATCCCATTGGGAGCTGTGTAGGGGGA